TTAAGTTTAAAATTGAATTGATATTTTTACTTTCATGATAAATTTGCTGCACTTGGCTCTAGGCTAGGTTGATGCCACACTACATCTTTACTTTAGGTTTATTATACCAACACTCACTACACTTGTAAGGTTTCATGGTATGGCACCCCACCACCCCTTATGGCCCCCTTGCATCCCTATCACTAAAATCATAATGCATTTTGGCTTTTGTGACTTCTCCTACTTCGAGAAATGAAGCATGATGTGACATGAAACACACTGGCTTTTATATAGGTTAGATTATCTTATTAAATGTCAATGAAGAAAGTAAATTAACTTATTATATCAAACACATTTTTACAGTTTACCTGTCTGTGCTAAATAAGAAGCCAAGACTCATGCTGTGTATAAATTTAAATGTGAAAGGGATTGTGGGAAGCACCTTAAATAAAACAACAGAAAACATATCATGTAAGTTGAGCCTTCATGAAGTGCAAGCAAAACTTCATTTCCCAATAGGCATCAAAAAAAAAAAGTAATTTTTGGTATTAATCACTCTACATGTTCTTCAGTGTACTTTACTTAATTAATGGAACTGTTAATATATGTTGTGAATTTTTCAATTTTTAGTAATGATATTGGAGTTGTTCACCCCAAAAGATTGTCTTTCATTGTATCAGTAAATTTTGAGCATATATATATTCAGAATTTATATGTTCAAGTACAGATAAATATAATGGCAAGATAATATTACTAGGATAAACAAGCTGAGACTCTCATCCTAAGTCTGGGGCAATAAAGATTGAATGTAGGGCTTGAACTAATAAATGAAATTAAGAATTTGTATTTATATGCATAATTTATTTCACATGGAGGAGGGTTGGGCACGGGGCTAGCAACTCCACCTCATAAAAACCAACCTGCTAAATTACTGCAAAAACAACTTCCGTCGGCGAGGTGTTGTTGCAGCCCTATGCTCCAGTCTACAGGGATTATTATTATTAATTTATTTCACACCTACTTTATTTCACACTACAGAAATAGTGTTGTAATTATTTTACTTTATTGCTGTTACTAATCCTTCTCTACAGCCCCAGAGTTTGTTTTTTTAGTCTGAGTGCTTCTGGATAGACCACATCCTTCCTCCTCCTTGGGCCAAAATAAAAGAGATTTCTTGGTGATTCTACACTTTAACATGCAACATAGAATTGACCATGTGAAAAGCAAGGGGTTTTAAGATGTAGCCCTGCCACTTTAACGGTCTGACCTTGTGCTTTTGTTGCTCTTTTTCCAGGCAAAAGTGTGAATATTTGACATTTCTTACAAAAAAACTTGATATTTTCCAAGAAAAATAAAGAAAACATTTCGAGAAAATGTTTTCGAACATTTTAGGAAAGAAAAACAAATTGGTTCGCAACTGTGGAGTCATTAGCTAAACGGAAATTTAGGAAACCTTTTTTTTAAATCATAACTTTAGGAACCTTTTATATTTCACACACAAAAAAATGTTCCTAAAGTTTTGATTTAAAACAAAATGTTCCGAAATTTTAATATATAATTCTTAAAATATGGGTGTTTCTAAAAGTCTCTCTCTTTCATTTAAATCATAATTGTAGGAACTTTTTTATTTCACAAAAAAGAGAGACTTTCAGGAACTTTTTTTTTTTTAATTACAAACTATGCGGTCCAACTTCATGTTGGTGGGAATATCTTGAAAAAATTAACAGCATTACTAGGAACTATATACCGAGACTTATAATAAAAGTATAAAACTTGTTTGTTATTACCCACTCTGGGCAATACCCTAAGCAAATATATGTTATTTTTTAATGTATAACTCTTTAAATATGGGTGTCTAACAAATTTTCTACTGGCATCGAGAGCCAGCACTGGCCCTGGAACAAACATTCTTGCGAAGTCCCCTTTCTCTCTCTTTTTTTAACATTTCTAGGAACTTATTAAAAAAATGATCTTAAATTAGGACAGCAACGAGCCTATAAACAAGGTAAAATCACAGTAGCAGCTGTTTTTAGCTCACGGTATAAGCTTGTGTGTGTTTTCTTATAGCAAAGCCACATCGGGCTTTCTGCTGTGTCCAGTGAGGGGAATCGAACCCCTGATTTTAGCATTGTAGATCCAAAGACTTTGTCCCACCAGAGGACCACAGGATAAGCATAAAAACCTTAATAAAGTTACAACAAATATCTACTATATCTATAAAGTAACAAATATATATATTAATTGTTACTCAAATTATTATTTCCATCACTCTTAATGTACCAAGCGTCTATATGCAAAGAAAAGCCAAACACAATGCTTTTTATAATTAAATGAAGATATAGTCTAAAGATGCTTTGTGGACTGTACGGCATAATCAGGCTTCATTCGCCAGGGCTCCTGTCCAGAGTTGAAACTGAAGAATAATTCCAGAAAGTTACTGGTTGATTAGCAATACTAAATGTACAGTACTCTCATCATTTGCTTCTAGTGTATTAAGTTAATGTTGTTTGAGATAAACATTATCCATATGGCTTTTGGGTGGTCATTAAAAAAAAAAAGTAATAAAAATGTTATTTTAAAGATTTTTATACTGTTTTTTGTTGGCCCTCACAAAGTTTGCTAGTTTGATTCCTAAGTCTGTAGTTTTGAATTCCTAACTTTTATTCCTTTTATTGCTGTGATCACTGTATCGTAACCGTGTTTTTTGTGTACACATTATAAACAAACTGATAGTCAGTCTTCCAGCTTAGTTTGTAAAGATATTATTGTCCTTTACCTCCTCCTAAGTATGGTTTTGGCATCAAATAGTATGTAATCATTGGACAGTGTCATGATTGAATATTTAACACTGAACAGCTGGAATTATTAGCCTAATTTGATTTTGTTATGAGATTAAAAACATCATTTATGCAATATTTGCTGAAATCAATACTTTTAATGGTCTTACAGATTTGTTGTTTTAATGATGATTTTTGTTAAAGACCTTTTAAAAGATTATATGCCATGAAAGATAATCTAGGTTTTTTTTCACCACTAATGATTATTATGCCCAGGAGAAGCAGTTCGACTACTGGCTTGGTTGGTGAAACATTCGAGGTCCACCGTGGTGATGCAACTAATAATCAAGGAAGGGGGTGTTCCCCAGTTTGTGAACATGATCCAGTCGGAACATCAAATAATGCAGAATGAAGCACTTTTGGCTCTCATCATAATGGCTGACACCGTGTTAGGTAAGGGGGAAAATTATGGGGGGGGGTAATTTCTGCTATCATGGTATGTGTAAAAAAGTAACTTTTAACTAGTAGAAAATGACATCTTAAGAATATATTTTGGCCTTCATGTTTCTAATGAAATATGGTATTTCTTGTGCTTGTTGCACTAAAAACGTTTCTTCACATAACAAACTTGAAACTGTTTCAATAAATGTGTAATTATTACTAAAACTTTTGTTGCTATTCCCTTTTTAGTAACAGCAATAGTAATTTACCCCTAAAAGTCAAAAGGTTGGTTATTTTAATGTATGCTTATACTCATACAAGATTAAAAAGTCTTATTATTTCATTTAAAAGTTAAATAGTTTTTGTATTAAATGTGCACTATATCCAAACTGTTGTAATTTAATTTGAAAGACAGATAACTATCATGTTGCTGTCAAGGCCTTTTAACTATGTTTTTTTTTTTATATTAACAAACGACTTACTTTTTGTGAAATAAAATGTAATAATTTATTATAACCCTTTTTTACACTCTATTTTTGTTGAACTTACATGTTTTTCTGGGTATTAAAACGAGTAATTTATTATAAAGCAGTCATGATTCAAAGTTGGCCAACTCTTAAGTTTGGTAACATAACATTACAGTGAACTAAGACTATATCTTACTTTCACTGAACATCACACAAACCAGCAGCAGCATCTAAAGGATAACTGATTAAATTTATAAGGACTGTTTTTCTTCACACATTATCAGTGTTATTAAATATGTTATTTAGACTATTTTTGATTATTAAAATTTCAAGCATTAAAATAAACCCAATTATTTAGTCCAGAAGTTACAAACGAAATTCTTTTTCTAAAGCAATATTATAAAAGACATTAATGTTTTCCTCACTCAGAAACTGAATGACAATGACTTGTCGAACAAAGTTGTAAAAATTACAACAGATCTTTACATCACAAAACTATATCCGTTAAAATGATCATAAAGAAATACTGTAAATATTACAAACTTGTGCTATAATAGCAATATGAATCTATATTATAGCATGCGAGGAACAGAAGAACAAAATATTGAAATATTGTTTTCAGATAAGGTATTTTTATAAGTACCTATTACTTTGTTTTTAATTGATATAACAGTATAAACTTTTTGTACATTTGAGCTTCACTGCAGTACAATACTCTTTCAGAAAGCCAATAGAGTAGTAACAAAATGGACCAGAAAAGTCGCAGAAATGATAATACAAAACTAGAATTTTGCATGTAAATACGCAAGTACGCAACGAACGTTCATATCAAAATTCGAGAAGATTCCTCCAAAAGGAACGAAGTACTGGTAAAAAACGCAAAACCTGCTATAACTCCTTTAAAACGCAT